TGCTTTACCCTGTAGGTGCTAACAAATTCTAAGTTTAATAACAGTGGTTTGTTTGTGAAATGTGGCCTTAGAAGATAACAGTGCTCTCCTTGGAGTTTTGCTGAAATCTGCCAAAATTATTGAGAAATGAGTCTGAGTGCATGAAAACTTCAGCAAATCAATAAGATGATCACCTGGTTTTCAGACATGGATGGTCATAGGCAAAATCTTTTCACCATGGAGCAGTGCTTGGTGAGGAACTAGGCCAATCGTCTTAGTGAAAGAACCCCAGTTTCTGCTTCCTGTCAAATATCATTAATTTTGGAGTAAGACTATCAGGAAAGGTAAGTATTATGGAGGCTAGATAATTATGATTAAATATGTTAATTATTATAGCGTTGCCTCTAAGAAATGACATCCTTTCCTTTCCAAGACAGGCTGCTTCTAATTCTGAAGGGAAATAGTGCTAATTAGCTGTATTATGAAGATATGTGACACTTAATTTGCTATAGCTACCTTCCTTTCACTATAGCTAGCTGATTGCAGGACCAAAACTCTTAAAGACAGATCCTATATCTGCTATAGACAATGTGCAACTGTCCTGGGTGCAGCAAGTTTGGCTTGTATGGACTGGCTGGAAATCCCAGGCTAGATGATCAGATTTTGTTTGTGAGTTTTGTTCCGATTTTGCCAAATAGTAACACGGTGATGTCTGTAATGTGACTAGAATCTAATACCACTTAAAATGCAGTCTGGTATAGCATCTGTCTGCACAACGTGGATAGACCCAAATCAGTTTTAAATAGCAGCAGGCTACTTGAAAGACCACGGAGTTCAGCATGAATTGATTTGCCCAGAATCTGTAGGTGGTTTTCTCTCTCAGCGCTCTGCTTCCAGTATCCGAAGTTTCCACCAGAATCCATGTTACATGTCTGTTAGCTTCAGGAGAAATTGCAGTGTACGTTCAGATCAGGATTTTTTTAACAAATACAGTTAAAATGTCTGATTACAGAGAATATCATGAACCTTCCAACTTCTTTATTTCTAACCAGATATACTAGGAGCTTGTACAATTGGTCCCAGCATCTCAAAATGTAAAAGTTAAGCAATAAAAACATGCATGTTTTCCCTTTCTCACAAAGAACCCTCTTGAGTTTTAGGTAGATCCAGACCTGCAGAGGAATACTGTAAAGTATAATGCCAAGGGTGTTTGAGTGGAAACAAAGTCAGTCCCACAGTTTTGTTGCTGGCAAAATGCCTCACAGCCTCTTTGCTACCTTCTAAAACACTGCTAGCTTTTGATCCCTGACTGATTCCAAACTGTTGTACATGGGGAAGAGAATCTCTTCCCAGGCTCTCTGTAGCCTCTTTGTAGTACTTTAATTACTTTGATCGATATACCTGCCAACTCCAATGGCACAATCTTTTCATTCTTGAATACCAGGGTTTGAAGGTTTCATCTGAGACCAGGAGTGTAATTCCCCATTCTATTCCCACAGTTGGGTTTCTGAATGCGCACTATTTGCTATATATCACCCATCCTGAGAGGCAGTACAAGCTATGTATTTATCTTGAAGAACATACATACATCCCAGGAATAAGATAAAGAGTTGGGCACAGATCATCCTTTTCTACATGAAGCACTTAACAAGGAGACAGGAACTTTTCATCCTACTACTTTTTACATATGTCTTTGATTATCAGCATAAGACTGGCAGGACTTCTGGTATTCCAGCCAAACCTTAATGAAAGGGAAAAGGTGGATTCTAATCTGTGCTGTCTGAGCCCATAGTGAAATCCTAGAGTATGGGAGCACAGTTGTATCCCACACAGCTGGACAGTATGCATGTGAAGATTACCTCATCACTATAATTTTATTAAAATTGTTAACAGTTTCTGCAAAATTTTTGTTTGTTTGTTTTGTTTTGTTTTGTTTTTGGTGTTGTTAATTTTACAAAACACTACTCTTTGTTATGCACTGAAGAAATGTTGCTCTCAGACTGGTGGATATTTGTTAACTGACCATATTTACTTTAGAGATCACATTCACAGAACAGAATGTGAACATACAAGCATTAAGAAGTCAATGAGACTCGGTTCTGTACTTAAAAATCAACATTTTACCTAATGTAGCAACAAGATTTTACACATAAAATTGTAAACTAGAGAGCCAGGTAATGGTAGGCGTCTTTCTTCTGGTAAATCATCAGACAGAACTGTGATTTTGGATGAGTAACTTAGAGCATGTCCTACAGCACCACCTAGCAGGCTAATTTAAAAGTGGTCTGTATCCCTTGTTTCCTGACTAATGATGTGCTTATACAACAGAAATAGGGTGCACTCCAGCCTTCCTTCTCCATTTTGTAGCAGCTCCTGCTTGAAACCGGAATCGTGCCAACGTGCTGCTTAGTGAAGTTGGGATCTCTACTTTTCACAGTTGTAATTATTATAAAGTGCTTAAGAGAAACTATGGTTTGAACTTAATACCAAGCAAGCCTCTAGAGTTTTGCATAAGAAACTATTGGTCTACAGACATCTCTAGCTGGTACAGAAGGCAGAAGCACCTTTCAGAAAGAATGAGCTTATCAAAACTTAATCCAAATTCACCCCTAGGGTAAGTCTTAACTCTCAGGCTTTCAAAATCCATCATCACTCCATGTGTTTTGGTTAGTGTATAGTCTAGTCTCAAGAAGTCCCTCATCTGCATGCATTATTTCTTTGTGCTTCTGTATGGAGGATGAATGTCAATACCTACTTACAAATGGTAAATTTTGGCAGATGATGAAGCTACACACTGAGGCTGCAGACCCATGGCTATTCAAGTTCTCCTCTGATAAAGAGGGAGATGAAGCTCTCCTTCCCTTTTTTTTTTTTTTCTGGCTGCCTCCTGCCTTTTTACAGCCCTGGCACTCTTCAGACTTTTCTATGATCCCATTCAACTCAATAACCTAGAGGAAAATGATTGTAGGTGTAGGCTTGTGTTTTTTTGTTTGTTTTTGCTTTTGTCTGTTCTTCTATTTGGATGTTTTCTGCTGATAATGAGTTAAAAGTAGCTCATAAGAGGGTCTAACGAATGCCAGATCTAGGAAACATAAGTGATTCAAAGGGAGACAGAGAGGTGGGGAAGGTAAGATCTTTTCCCTGACTTCTCCCTTTGGGTGGCAGCAAATTGTTAATCTGCCATACTGCACAAAACCATAACCTAAGGCTAGAAATATGTCCTCTCACAAAGGAATGTGTTTTCTTAGCAATTAGCAACTTGTTCATTGGAAGTTAAAACCAAGGTTGTGCCTAACAGCCTCTGTTCACAGCAGGGAGAGATGCTGGCTAGGCCTGGCCGTGTCTATTTAGCACTAGCATTTCTGTAGTGCTGGGGACACGCAAATCATCAAGTAGAGAAAAGATCAAACTGACATCTTTATTAAGATACTTTCATTGAAGTTGTGGCAGAAGATCTCAATTTGAATGAAAACTCCTAGGTATTTAGTTCAAGATATTAATCTTTCTATGTGAAAGCAAATCTCAGGCCAGAAGTTCAGAGAGCTGAATCTTTTCTGATAAGAGATGCCTTTATCAGGTGCTGCTACAAAGAACTCTCAAAATTAATCCAAGTAGGTAACAGTGGGTTGCTTTTATTTTTATTCTGCTGTGTCTCAACTCACTGAAAAGCATTATGTCCACTTGATTTGTTAAAACTGATCACACTGAGCAGTCAACTAGGTAAAGGGACATTTTTAAATGACTGTAAAGCACCAATGTATATCTTTCTTGTAGATGAGGCAAAACCACTTTTCCAGTGTACACCACCCCAATGAAATTCGACAGTGGCTGAAAGCCATCCTCTGTGTTCTTGTTTTGCAAGGACCGTACAACTGAAGGGCAAGGCTGGCCTTAATGGAGCCGTGTGCTCAGAAGCCAGATCTTAACGGGCCTTAATGTGCTACTCTGTGACCCACCACCCCTGACACGCCAGCAAAACTGAGCTTTCAAGGAAAAGGCAGATGTGCTCTGGACTTTCTTAGAGTTTCCAGGTTGTAAAACAAACTCATGAAGGAATATTGAGAAACTACTGGCTGCCATCTGCTTTGAGCAAATCATAAATCATACAACAAATAAGAAAACACTGCATGTGTTCCTGTTAGGGATGACAGGAAAAAAAAAATCATATGTGGCAGATGTTAGTTATGCCACTGACTGTGTTCTTACTATGTGTTCCTGTACTATCACTGAATCACAGAATATCCTGTGTTGGAAAGAACACACAAGGATCATGGAGTCCAACCCCTGGCTCCACACAGATCTAACTAAAATTCAGACCATGTATCAGAGCGTTGTCCTAATGTTTCTTGAACTCTGGCAGGCTCGGTGCTGTGACCACTGCCCTGTGGAGCCTGTTCCAGTGCCTGACCACCTTCTGGGTGTGGGACCTTTCCCTAACCCCCAGCCTGACCCTCCCCTGTCCCAGCTCCATGCCATTTCCTCGGGTCCTGTCGCTGTCCCCAGAGAGCAGAGCTCAGCGCCTGCCCCTCCGCTCCCCTCCTGAGGGAGCTGCAGGCCACCATGAGGCCTCCCCTCAGCCTGCTCTGCCCTGGGCTGAACAGACCAAGGGGTCTCACCTGATCCTCGTATTTATCTTCCCTCTAGCCCCTTCACCATCTTTGTTGCCCTTTGTTTCCTCTACAGTGGAAGGGATCTATTGATAACATATATAAAAAAGATGTTTAAGCAGGAAAAACACAAATTTCCCTTATGTGACACCATGGGGATCGCTCTGTGCTAACACAAGGCTGGGGGGTTGCACGATTGCTGCTTGCTGCTGTGCTGGACGGGGTTTGCACAGCTGTCCCCAGCGTGCCAGACCCGTGGCTCTTCCAGCTGGCACCACCGGCCGCTTCAGCAGCTGCTGCGGGTTTCTGAGCCCCAGGGGACAGCAGCACAGGGTCCTGTGTGCCTACAGGGCTGGTGGGGCCAGCAGGCTGCGTGCCCAGGGCACCAGGTGCCTGGGGTGCCTGAGCCCTTGCTCTTTGCCTCCATGCGGCAGGCAGGGAGCGGTGGCCGGCCAGATCTCCCCCAAAAAGCTGCGCCAAAAGCACGAAATTCCCCACCCGAGCCCACGAAGGGCTCCCCAGCCGCCATGGCGGCGCGGCCCGCCCCTTCCCTTCCCCTTCCGCCCTCTTGACGGTAACGGGGCGGCCGCTGCCCGGGGAGCTCCGCCTCGGCCGCGGCGCGGAGCCCCGGTAGGTGCGGGCGGGGGGGAGGCGAGGCGAGGCCGCCCCCTCGCTGCCCGTTTTGGGGTGGGGGGGGCTCGCCCCGGGGCTCTGCGGGGGGCAGGACGGCCCCGATCCCAATCCCGGCCCCAGGGGCGCCATGGCCCGGGGCTGGGGGCAGGTCGGGGCCCGGCTTTGGGCTGGGATGCAAGGCATCGGCCCCTCTCAATGCTATTTCGTAAAGCCTTTTTTTTATTTAGCACCCTCCCCCCTTTTCAAAAATTATTTTATGTAAGGGAGCTTGGAAATCCTGAGCCCTCGAGGCAGGTCGAGGTTTCGCTCCATTTCCAGACCACGTTTTAAGTTGGGCTTACCCTGCTTCTCCATAAAACTACAAAAATAAATAAATAAATAATAATAGCTCCATTCAAACGCCAGGACAAAAGCTGCGTGGCTAGCCCACGTTTTGAACTTTAGCAACTAAAAGTCTCACGGAGTCCAGTGAATTGGCTTGAATGAGTGCCCGTAAAACCACAGCGTGCTAAGTAGTGTTTGAGCCCTTGGGGGAGGCCAGCATACAAATTCTGATGTGACTTTACCAGAGCTAACTAAATGAATAGGAATTTACAGGCTATGGGCTGTATAAATTGCCTTGTCATGTCTGGTTGCCTTCCTTACAAGTAAGTCGTGCAAAGTTTATGGGTAAAAATGCCATCCGCAGCTGGGGCTGCAGTGTGTTTTATTTGCATGAACAGAAAACTGCAATGAACCCAGGGGAAGATTTGAAAGCACAAGTGCTGACAGGTTTTGAGGACATTTTTTCTTTTATTTTCACGAGAATTGGCCATCATGAGAAATGAATAGGCTGATGGCATTTCCATCTTACTCCTGCTTTAGGTTGCTGGCAGGACCATAGGATTTAATCCAGTCAAAATTACAGCATGGGCTGCGAGGGGGCTGTTCACAAAGATTTGAAACCATACCTGCACAAAGTGTAATTAAAAAAGGCTTAACAACTGCTAGAATTTTTCCAGTCAAAGCAGGAAGAAACCTAGTTGTGCAGGGAAGCAGGTGTTCATGCCTTGTGCCGTGGAGGTGCATCCATCCCCTTGTTGTGGCTGTTCAGGAGAAGTGTGCAGATAAACACAGCGCTTCCTGGCCTGCTTTCCTGCGGTTCACCCAGCTGTCCAGGTGTTCCTCAGGGCATGCGAGTCACTGACCGTGTGGTACTGAGCAGGCCTTGTGCTCGGCAAGCACCATTTAATCATACAAGAATGGACACCGCTGTTTTTCAGTGGGGTCTGGCCTTCCCCGCACTGTACATGAGCTGAGCGAGTAATTTTTTCCTTGCTCTGTTTCTGATCTTACAAAGGTCTGTTAGGCAGCCTGAAAGAGAGCTTGCTCTCTCATGTGAGTGGGAGAAACTTGGGAAGTTCTTGGCTCAGCTTCATATGTGGGTCAAGTGCAAGTCTTCATATAATCACATCCTTTGAAGTGCTGCCCCCCTCGTTGTAAATGGCATGACCTTTTCAATCAGATCTAGACTACCAGTCTAGATTTGCCAAGAGGTCATTAACTCCCAAGAGGTTGTTTGGGTTTAATATTAACATTTTCTGTTTTATAGCTCCACTATCAAGGATGTTAACTCCTGAAATAGTGTTTCACCCAAGCGTTTGTTGCTTTAGCATGTTTTTCTTAAATAACTTTGTCAAACAAATCACCGCCACCCGTCTTCAGCAGTGTTGGAATACCACTAGTTATTATACTAAGAAATACAAATTAAATTATTGTATACTTACATGAACCATTGTTTTTAGTAAGCACTTGGTATGTGTTCACTGCAGTATAAACATTAAACAAGGTTATTCTTCCCCAGTGAACTTAACAGTTTGAAAGAGCTTCATAGGAAGGAGTAGTAATAACATATCATTAAAACACCGCCTTTAATTTAATCCCTTTTTGTTTCCCTGTGGTTAATATTCATTTGCTGTTGATCCTGGCTGGTGTATCCTGGCATATCACGCAGTGCTGGTTTATGATGTTACAGCCCCCAGTTGTCCACCCCACCCTCTGTGGGAGGTTATTGTTCAGCCCGAGTGGAAGAAAAGAGCAAATGTCTGTGTTTCAGCTGCTGCAATACAAAGCCCAGCAGCATAGCTGAAGCTCACCTTTGATGGTGCTCTACGCTAAGACCTTGGTGGTTGTATCAAAGCACAGTTTTCCTCTGCCACCTTGGCTTCCTGTAAGGACAGCTGGTAATAGTCATGTCTTAAACAGCTGCAGCAGGATTCTCCGCAGCTCACGTGGTAAAGCTCTGAGAGAAGAGACATTGCGAGATGCAAATGGAAGCAAGGGCACCCAATTATCACTGATGTCTATGGGACTTAGGTGCCTAATTAGCTTTTATATCTTTATCATAGCATCATTTTAGGAGAGAATTCTGTAGCCTCTGGGAATTTTTAAGAGACTGGAGCTTTCCTGGGCAGAACACATCATATGGCTCGGTCCATGAAAGGAACTGATACTCACCCAGGGAAGGTGGACTCTTGAACTGAAGGATTTAGCAGGTTTGAAAGTTTTTGTATTTATCTGCTTATTTAAAGAGTTATAGCATCGTCATCTACCCTGAAACAGGTTCTGTTCTAGTTTATGCTCTGAATTGCATGAATTATTTGTCAGACAAATTATTTTAGAGAAAAAAAATGTTGCCATTAAAAGCATGTTTTTTTTTGGAAATAGCTGTTTGCTGAGTAAGCTAGAACCATAGCCAGGTAGTTGAAATCTGAAAAAAAAATAGAGGAAACTCATACTGTTCTTTATTTTTCTTTTCACATTGAAGTGGATTATCCATTAGAAAGAACTCCAAAGACATATTCTGTCTCCCAAAATTTTCAGATGAAGATATGATCCCATTGTGGATGTTGTAGCCAAGCTCAAGTTACCAAGGTTAGTGTTGAGGCAACTAAGTAAAATTACGATGTACTATTGAGGAGGTTAGAGGTTAATTTAATTATTGGCTCTTTCTGGCCTTAATATCTCCAGTCTGTTGCTGTAGTGGACTGCAATGAGAGGACTGTGATGGCAAGGAGTAGATATGTGTGTTGGGTAAATGGAGAATGTGTATTGATTGCTGGGGGGAGGAGTTCAAATGGTGGCTTTATTATTGGTTTTACGGCAATAAATTGATTTACTGGAGGAGAGGGAGAAGTTAATTCTTTGTATCAATTATCCTGTGTTGTTCAAAGGCCCCAAAATTAGTGAGTATCACTTTCTCTGTAGAAGTATTTTGTGTTTTGTTAATGTAAACTAATGTTCCATTGGTTATTGTACTCTGCTGTTTCTCATGTTGTTTTGTTTTTAAAATGCTGCATAGATGAGAAACACATTTATGCATGCTTTAATTCCTGATTTTGTGTTACAAACAGGTTAGGAGTTGACTATGGGAGTGCAATTCCTGCGGAAGGCATCGGTGTGGGTAAAGAAGCACAAGATCACTTTGTTGGCTACTTCTTGCGTGGGACTGCTTGGCGCTAACCTTTCGTATCATGTGTTTCCTGAGCAGACGTTCAAACTGTTGCATGAGTGCTGGTCAGATGGGCAGCCAGCTGAGCTTTCACAGAGGCTCAGTGGTGTCTTTCAGGATGTCCTTCAAGATACCGCTGTGAAGTCCACTGACTCCTATCGAGCTTTTGCAGCTTCTGGCTTCCACCCAGTCAGTGCTGGAATCCCCTGGCTACCTGCGGGTTCTTTGGTGGGCATACCTCCTAATTTTGATAGCACAGTTGAGGACAAAAAAGGAATAGTCGACCACGTTGTTGTGATCAATGGCAAAGAGGTAGACTGGGAGAGCAATGAAGGTGTTGCTTTGAAGGAAGCTCTGACATTTTCACCTGAAGCACAGAAGTTTGCAATTGCCAGAGAAGTTGTGTATTTGCAGAACGGCAGCCCTTTAGCAAGGGCAGTTGTGGCTCCAGTTTGTTTAGCTGGTACATGTCTTTGTGGGGTAGGTATAAAGATAGCGCTGGGTTTATCTACTGGCCCCACGGTATTTCGTGGCATCTGTAACCTCACAGTTGCCGCCGCTGGACTGATCTTCTACTACGTTTGTTACGATGCTGTGACCTATTACCTAGACTGCAAGGCCGACAGAAATGCAGCTACTGTTTCCAAAGACTATGCCAGAGGAGGGGTGGAATTTTATGATAAAATCTTGTCCCGCAACAGAATTCTTCGTGCTCTGATGGGCAAAGAAGGGATGAAAATGTATGCCCCAAGTGGTAACCTTTTCCCAAGGTACTGGTTCAGAATAAAGTATACCCCGTACACTTACCGAAGAGATTTGATTGTTAATATTTTAAGAGAGCTTCAGGCATAGGAAGGGAGTGCTTGAATTTTAAACTTGTGAATTATGTATTCTCTTGGAACACTGCTGTGCTGCCTTTTTTTTTTTTTCTTCTGTATCTTCATTAGAATTTTGGGGTTTATTTTTGCATATAGTTCGAAAAGAGTTATTGCACATTCTGTGAATAAAGAATTCTCTCTTAAAATATTAAAGACTTGCTTCAAAAGTGCTCTGTTCTGTGTGCATCTTAAATCACAAGACCACTGAGAAAGGGAACTTCTCAGATGCTGATCTGGAAGTTCTGCTGCTCTGCTGTGCTCTGCTCTGACTTGCTGCCAGTTCCAGGCTGGAAAATGGAAAGGGTAAAGTCCAACAGAGAGTCTGGGGAGCGTTACCATTTAAACAGGTTTCTTTCAATGCATTTTTGTCGTTCTTCCTGTGGTACAACCCAAAGATGTTTAGAAGACTGGTCAGTACTGTTAAGTAAATACCAAAACTCAATGCTTTTGTTCTGTGTAAGTTCTTACACTGCATATGCTGCAATCACCATTCTTTTGTAGGGAAAACTAGTTATGCTGCTATTTATAATAATACAGCTAGTTTATTACCAGAACCTGCGTGATTTTGGTTAAATCTAGTTCTGTTTTCTACACGTCACTGTGATTGCAGTGGGTATATCTTCAGTGTTCCCAGCAGTGGCAGTATGTAACAACCAAGATCAGTCATGGGTTGGTTGGTTGTTTTCTCACAAGTGGGATAAGCATCTTCAGGAGAGGGTTTTCTATTTGCTTTGGAATGGGTTTTGCTTCATTTAAAAATACAGGTTGATGTATATCAGCTCTTATGTCAAGTAAGTCTGGCATGCGGTGCAGGAACTGGTGAGGTCTGTGATCAGGAGTTGCCAAAGGAAATCAGTCTCCTCTTTCAGACTAGTCCCAAGTCGGTTTTGCCTGACAGAGATGATCTTTGCCCAAGGTTACAAATCTTCTGGAGAGGTCTTTGATGCATGGGTAGCATAGGTTTCTCTACAGCCTCACCTTGGATCTTTTACATGAGCTCCAAGATAATAGCTCTCAAGCTTTGTAGTTCCCCCTTTTCTGCTTTTCTGTAAGAGCCATTCCAGCAGCCCTCCCTGCTGACTTCACAAGTTTTCTTTTCTGATCTCCACTGTCATTCCTACAGGAAACTTTTATTGTTTTATATCTTCCCAGTCACAGATGTACTGAGCATCCTCTCTGCTCTGATCTAGTCCTTTCTTTATCTGTCACAACAGTAACTGTCATGTCAGTGTTTACCCAAAGCATCACTGGGTTCTGTTTTCCCTTTGAATCACGTATTGACATAAAGTAGATATACTGGCTGCCAAGGCACGGGCGTTGCTTTGCATTGCTGAAGCCATATATTTAAGTTGTTTGGGTTTCTGCTGCAGTAATCGGTGTGATGTTTTTTTTTTTCTGCACCACCACCAATCACTTGCATTTGCCCTTGAAGCATCAAGTCATGAGATGCCTTTTAGATGCTTTCTGGCTATGGGACGTAAGTTTAATGTTCTTGTGACCTATGTGAAAGAGTTTGGCAAAATCTGGTCTGTGGAATAAAAAGACTACTTCTAGGCTGCAGGCTTTCAAAGCTTCAGTCTAAATTTTATTTGTCTTCTCTTCCAGGTAAATCCAATATAAAAGGTCAAGGCAGAGGTTTGCTGGTTTAGTGATATAGTGGATCAAGGCTGGAATATAATTCCTGCTTTATATAGTCTGTGAGTTTGATTCATCCTCATGCTACTCCTTCAGACACATGGGAACTTCATTAAATACTATGGGAGAGAGCTTGGCCCACTTGTTTTATATGGTTTAAGGAGCTGCTAGTACATAAAGAGTACAGGAAATAGAGTTCTTCTTTGAGATTTACAGCAGTAGCAGTTTCAACAAAATTCAATTTAAAAAATCTGTGTGCCTCTTAATTGAATAAAGGATGAAGTATGAGGAGAAAATGACCAAATTGAGTTTCTAGTTTAAATTTATACACAATCTTCATTAAAGAAAGATTTCCTTGGCTGATTTATTTAGGATATTATCCTGAATTTCTAGATAACTGAAAAGAATTCTTGTAACTTAATTTTTATATAAATGTAATGCTTGCTGCTACAGAAAGCTTTAGTGGATAATGCTGCAAGAGACAAGAGCCACCTTTGCTCAGAATTCCCACTGGCATGCAAGAAATGTCCTTAGAATTGTGGTTCCCTGTCATGGAGATGCCTTCAGCTCATTTAATGTTCAAGAATGTAAAGCTGTCAAAAGTAGGGCAAGACTGAGAGCTATCTGGTTTTCTGAAGGACGGACAAATTGTAGAAATCATCTGATTTAAAGTCATTTCTGAATGAGCTGCTGTGGTATCTCACCTCCTCTGGTAGCTTACAGGAAGAAGCCGCTTCAGAAGTGGCTTCCATGAGGGAAATCTCCACATAGGTTGCATGCGAATAAAGAATGTCCTCCATTGTGTTGCCACAATGTTGAAGTGCAATGCCAATTTAGAAAACAGCACCTTTTATCGCAGCAGAGTGCTATTATCACCCCCTTTTCACATTAAAGTGGTTTCCTGAACCTGACAGGAGAGCTGACTGCTAAGCTGTGGAGCCTGCTGCCCTACAGGGTAAGCTGGTGGTGTTGGGAAAGTGGTGCTGGGAACTGAGGCTGCTTTTCTTTTGCCCTCGGCCATAGCAGTTGTGAAACATTCAGTGTGGCACAGTGTGGCTTGGGTGGGAGTGAATTATGAATCAAATCATCACCCTTGCTGAATCACAGGCAGCTTTCAGTAAAGGAACAAATGCAGAGAGTCCATCCCGGAGTGAGTACTGCTGCACACACCAGTTGTAGGCATCACGAAAACAACTGCAGGCATCTCTACTATGTGGAAATGCAATTCCTAGCAAGCAGCAGACACTGAGACAAGTATGTAGGCCATATCCTGCAACTGTTTTCTGCTCTTGTTCATTAAAAGCTTCATGTAGCAGGTGTGATTGCATTAATATAAAAATGATTGCAGACAACCTGCCATCCCTGCATGCACCAGCTCCTCCTTGACTTCATTCATCTCAGCTGGAAATGTATCTGAGAAAGGCAGAATGCACTGGAAAGTAGAGGAACGCTAATGTAGGAAGACATAATTAAGCTTTCGGAAGAAAGATAACACAGGGAGAGGGAGAAGCTGAATTTGGTTGTAATCAAAATTATATTTAAGAACAGAAAAACAATGCACTAATTCTCTAGGAACTGACGTGTTAGACAAATTAAATCTGAAGGACATGAAAAATGGATGTTTATGGATGTTTTGCTGGACTTCTTTTTCGTTGAGAATATATCAGTTTGTTTAGCTAAAGTGAATATATTCAAGCTGCTCAGTCTGCCAGATCTGAAAATTGTAAAATGATTAAAGTTTGGCTAGAAATTGGTCTCTGTTTCCCATCTGGGAAGAAAAATAAAAAAAAAAAAAAAAAAACTAATTTTTTGGACAAGGTAGAATCTAAGTTTCATAGCCAGAAATCAAAATAGTCCAACACTTTAACCATCCCTGCAGCTGGGTGCGCTCAATTCCCCTAGTCAGATAGTTTGCTGTGATGTATCCTGATCTCCAATATTGGGAGAAAGAACGCTCTTTAAAACTCATTTTGTGTCCAAAAATGCTCTTTAAAAAACACCCATCTCAGCTGTATCTTTATTTCCTTCTGCTTTAGTCTGCATGCTTCTTCCTGCAGGAACTGTTTATGATGCGTTTATGGTGCCATGTGCTGGTGCAGGACTTGCCTCTGCTAAGGCCTAACAGAATAGCCACGTGCTTTCTACATACCACAATAAATACATGGGGGGGCATAAGTTTTGAAAAGAGAATCATTCTCCAAATCATGCTTCTAGTGAACAAGGCCATTGCATCTTCTGGAAGCTGGGCCCCTCTCCAGGCCAGACCTGGTTGCTCATTCACCAGCTGCTTTGGCCTTCAGGAACATCACTGCTCTTGCAGTGTCAGGGTGTTAACAACGTCTTTGAATGTAATCAGGTGAAATCGTGTCCTCCCCCATGTGTGGCCAAGCTGCTTCAGCTGGGTAGGTGTCCTGCAAAACCTCAGGTATCAGCTAGTTCTGTTCTTGGCTGCTTTAGGCCAAGTCTCACCAGCAGGACAAGCGGTGTGATCCTTCCCCTCAGCTCAGCCTTGGTGAGGCCACTCCTGGAGTGCTGTGTCCAGTGCAAGAGGGACATGGGCACACCAGAGTCCAACAAAGGGCCACTGAGATGACCAAAGAGAGCACCTCTCCTGTGAGGAGAGGCTGAGAGAGCTGGGATTTTCAGCATGGAAAAGGGGAGACTCAGAGGGATCTGGTCAATGCCTCCAAACACCTGAAGGGAGGGTGCACAGAGAACAGAGCCGGGCTCTTTTCAGTGGTGCTCAGTGCCAGGACAAGAGGCAAGGAGCACAAACTGGCATACAGGAGGCTCCGTCTGAACACCAGGAGGCACTTCAGTGCTGTGTGGATGGCTGAGCACTGGCACAGGCTGCCCAGAGAGGTGGTGGAGTCTCCTCCTTGGAGATCTCCAGAAGGTGCCTGGCCGTGGTGCTGGGCACCCTGCTCAGGGCGGCCCTGCACAGGAGCCCAGTCCCAGGTTCACAACTGCAGCAGGTGTTACAGAGGGAGCATCAGAAGAGGCCCTGCAGCAGGCAATCAGCTTTGCCCTAGTAACTGTCTGGTGGCATGGGGCAGACCGGCTGTCTTCTGGTAGGTTTGCTTCTGTCATTTGCTGAAATAATTTTCCGGTGGGAATGTTGTTTCTTTATTCCCCGTTCTTCTGCATTTCCCCTTGCTCTGCTACTCTAATTACCTCTTCTGCCTGCTGACTCATCTTGAAAGCTGCTGAAGCTCATTCAAAGGAAATTTGGGAACATTTTAAGCTCACTTGCTACTTGCATTTTGAAGTGCGCTACCTACTTGCTCCTACAGTGCTTACTAGCTAAAGACCACAGCAGCTTGAACTTATCTTTTGTTTTATTGGGTTTAGACTACATGGTTTTTACAATGAAAAAAGCCTTCAACTAACTGAAAAATAAGCACTGTGATTAGAAAACATGTTTTGGCCACGAAAAAGATATATTGCTTTTGAATTTTCCATTTAGCATTACTTTTTGAAATATGCATTTCTTGTTTGCAGTTTCTGGCACCTACTATACTTTTGATCTTAATGC